ACTCAAAGAAGAACATAATCTTTTTGAAAGTCCTGACCTGCCCACAGCTCTCTGCTTCACCCCGCCTTTTCCCTACTGCCTCAATTGTTGAGGCAAATATATTCCCACACAAGATTACATCTATAAAAAGACACATTTAAAACAGAGTAAGACACATACCATTGATAGAGTAGTAATGGAGGACAAGACAGATGGGGAATTATACTGGTGTTTGCTGAATTACTGAAATAATCATAGAATATCAGGGTTGGAAGCGACCTCAGGAGGTCATCTAGTCCAACCCTCTGCTCAAAGCAGGACCAATCCCCAGACAGATTTTTGCCCCAGATCCCTAAATGGCCCCCTCAAGGATTGAATTTGCAACCATAGGTTTAGCAGGCCAATGCTCAAACCACTGAGCTATCCCTCCCCCCACTCCCCCAGTGCACTGTGTAAACTGAAAGGCAGTGCTGAATTAGGGCTTGTCTTCACAGAGAAGTTAGTGCTCAGCAAGCTAGAGTGCAGCACACTAGCTACTCCGCACTAACTCCCTATGTGGACATGTTTACTGTGCACTAAAAGTGCCTTGGGGCATTTTAGCTAAGTATACTTATAAGCACACTAAGCTAAAGTACGGTTGGGCATTTGACCAGTCCAAAATAATTGGTTAATTGACTAATCAAACATTGGTCAAATATGGTCAAATAATGACAAAAATGGCCCAATATTTTAAAGCACTATTATTAGAACAGTAGCAACAGTAACAAAAGTGTAAATTTTTATGGTCTTCAATAGGCTTAGCCTAGTTACAAAAATCAAGTTACTTAAATGTGTAAAAAATATTAAACACAATGAAATGAGGTTCTAAAAAATGAAAGAATTATTACTATCTTTTTTAGACATGTCAGGTAAGCATTTAAATGCAAACATTCAAGACTGAACAATTACAAAAAAAAAGTAATTTTTAAATTACTAGGTAGGCAGCAAGCCAACTCTTCATGCAGCTTGCTTTTTATTATCTTCTTTTTCTTTATCAACTTCAACTGCTTCATCTATATCTTTGTCATCCTCATCAGTTATCAGTATCTCCATCTCCTTCTTGCTCTTTGTCTGATAACTACGGAGTCATCTGTCATTTTCTTCTCCAATCTTAAATTATGATGCATAGTCACCAGATTCCCAGTAGTGGAGGTCTTCAGTCTATTTCTGGTTTTTGAACGAATGATTCTGCAAACCAACCAAATTCGTTCTTCACAAGCAGTAGTACACAGAAGTGTTAAAAGAATTTCTACCACTTTGTAGCTAGAATGCAATGAGGACACAACCCTTTCCACCATGATGGAAGAGCAAAATATTTCATTTCAGCTGCTGGGATTGCACTCCATATTGTTTTATGACTGAATGAGCTAATTCTTGCTTTATAATTTGCTGCCTCAGTCAGAATTGTTTGTTCATTTGTATATCCTTTAAAATTTGCAACAGTCACTATGAAGTTACAGGCTGAATTAAACTTATCATCAGAAATGGCTTGGCCCCTGAAGTGTGGCTCAACAGGGTAAGTGGCATTATGTGCAGGAGTGATCAACTGATTTTTCCATGATATTATTTTGTCTATTATCATCTTCTCTTCAGCTATTGCAAGTGGACTGTGTTCTTTTTTCTCACAAATATGTCTCTTACAAGTGTTGTTGTAGCCATATTGGTCCCAGGATGTGAGAGACACAAGGTGGGTGAGCACATATATTTTATTGGATCAACTTCTGCTGGTGGAAGAGACAAAGACAAGCTTTTGAGCTACACAAAGTCTCTGCCACCAACAGAAGTTAATATCCTTTATTGGATCATCTCACCCAAATATGTTATTAACACCAAGAACAAGTTCCGGAACATCAGACAATACAGAACTATCATTTTCCAATTCGGAACGGACTGAGCTACAAGTTCAGGCAGTGAAATGAATTTTTGAGTTTCGCATCTAAAAAGGCATTGTCTTCAAGAATATCAGTGAGGATTTTTCAGAGGCAGCATCCAGCCACCATTTCTTCAAGCTGACTGACTAGCTTTCTTGCTTATTTGAAGATCTTTGAGACATTTAATAGAAGATGCCCATTGAGTATAACAAGCCTTACTCAGTGTGGATGAAACTGAGTGCTGTATTAAATGACACTGAAAAAGGCTGCTGATACTGCTTTGTTTTTGAAAAAATTGACAATGCTTTTTATTTTCGACGCATGATGAGAAAGTTGTCAGATCTTCAATTTCACCAGTAAAAACCTGCATCATATGGGCAGCTCATTCATAACACAGAACATTTATCAATGAAGATCAAGCAGAGCTTTATATTAGCCACTTTGTCAGCCACAAATGAAATAACCTTCCGTGGACCCAAGTCCATTATATTTTTTTTAACTGGTCAGCTATACACTGGGCTGTGTAATGATGCTCAGTTATGCACTGGAACAAGTAAAACTCTGGTTGTGGAGCTATTATCATGAAATTGATGACAGTCTCATTGCTCCATCCATCAGACACTAGAGACATGAGAAGTTCATGCAATAAGAACACCAGCTATCTTTTTTCACATCATCCACTTCAGCATTCAGAAGACTTCCTGCAATCTGTTTCCTACTTGATATTTTGTAAATTGGACAAAACTTATGAAAAAATTATAGCATATAAAGGATTTCTGACTATATGAAGTGTACTACTAGCATAAATACCTCTAGCAAATGTACAATTAAGTTCATTTTTTCTGGTAACAGGACACTATCCAAAAACCTCTTACTACCACTTTCATGAAAATCTGAAGACTTTCCAGAAGTAGAAGTTTTAAATGCTGAACCAGATAGAATAGTAAAATTCTTATTAGAAGATGAAGAAATGGCATTAGTTTCACTTTCATTGTCATATCACTATCTTCATCAAAAGACACCATCTGTCGTGATACTGCTGCCGAAGCCAAAGTAGGAGAATGCAGACAAATTTTGAAGCAGACCACTTTTCTTGTTGTTTGACCATAATGATCTATCTTTGACAGTAGTTGGACATATATCAGAAGAATTCAACAAGTGTTCCTTCATTCTAAATAAGTGTGTCATACTCAGAAAAAAGAACTTCCACACAGTTGGAATAGTTTTTCCATGTTCCTGTCTAGCAAAAGATTTCCATACAAATGATTTTGGCTTTTTCCAACTCTGCATAATTTATTATGTCACTGGTGGGTGAGGTAGAATCTTTTATTGAACCAACTTCTGTTGGTGAAAGAGAGAAGCTTTCAAGCCACACAGAGTCCTGTGTACTGTTATTAATGTCTCATTACTTCTGGAATGCTCTCTAGATTATGAAGTATTTCTTGTATTTCGGTCAACCAGTAGCCATTCAGTTCTATTTAAACTGCTGCTATTCCAGATGATTCCAGTCAATCAAAATGCTTTTGGGCATGCTGCCCTCTCCTCCCCAGGACCCTTATAGACTCCCAGATCACATAAAGGGGGGACAGGTGGCCATTCCTCCCTGCAGCAAAAACCATCAATTCATAAGCAGCAAAAGGAGCAGAAACAGAGCAGGGAGAGAGGGACTTCTATAGCGATGTGATGTCACAACACTGTCAATCGCACAGACCTTTTTATATTATCAGCAAATTGTTGGCTGAGGATACAAGGGAGGTGTCGAATAACAGGCGATTAACATTATTTGACTGGTCAATTGACTGGCTTACCAAGCCTAAGGTAAAGCACACAAAGATGCTTTAAGAATGTACACATACGGAGTTAGTGAGGTTGCAGCTACTGTGCTGTAAATTCACACCCTAGCTTGCTGTGCACTAACTTCTCATACAGACTGGCCTTATCTGAAGATTGTGAGTGTGAAATGGCTCAATTACACCAACTAGGCACCACAGGTTCAACATAAGTCACTGAACTGCATGGCAACTCAGGATTGGTCAAGTATATCCCAAACCCGCAAGAAGTTCCCAAGTAGGCGAACCCTGAGGAAGTTCCATAGTATACTTTTATGAGCACTTCACACTCATTTTACATCATCACAATGACACAAACGAAACACAACATACTCAGAGGTTCAACCCATTGCTGTGTTGATATGTTCATAGCTAAAACATCAATGGAATTCTCAATATACAGTAAGAGAAAGAGCACACACACTAACAAACATCTGAAACTACAGCGCCCCCCCCCCCGGCCCCAGCCCCGCCTCCAGACCTGCCCCAACTCCGCCCCCTCCCTGCCCCTATTCGACCGCTCCCCAAATCCCCGCCCCAGCCCTGCCTCTTCCCCAAGTGCGCTGCGTTCCTCCTCCTCCTCCCTTCCTCCCAGGCTTGGCGCATGAAACAGCTGTTTCACGGCGCAAGCGCTGGGAGGGAGGGGGGAGAAGCAGGACACTCGGCCGCTTGGGGAGGAGGCAGAGGCGGAGCAGAGGCAGAGGTGAGCTGGGGCGGGTCGGGGAGCTCCCAATGGGTGTTCCGCACCCAATTTTTCACCGTGGGTGCTCCAGCCCAGGAGCACCCACAGAGTTGGCACCTATGGCTGTTAGAGTAAAATTCTCACACTCTAGAAATTTTCTTCTCTATATAATAGTAATAGCTCCAAAATGCATTTAAAACTACAGTTTCATATTGAAAACTGGACAACTGGCCTAGAGAGTACTGTATTGTGTGATGGTTTCAGAGTAGCAGCCATGTTAGTCTATATCCGCAAAAAGAACAGGAGTATTTGTGGCACCTTAGAGACTAACAAATTTATTAGAGCATAAGCTTTCGTGGACTACAGCCCACTTCTTTGGATGCATATAGAGTGGAACATCTCCTCAATATATGTTCCACTCTATATGCATCCGAAGAAGTGGGCTGTAGTCCACGAAAGCTTATGCTCTAATAAATTTGTTAGTCTCTAAGGTGCCACAAGTACTCCTGTTCTTTTTGTATTGTGTGAGGTCAGCAATAATGTAAGACCCAAGAACCCAATTCTCATATTCAGATTTATTTCCAATCAATATGTACTTACAGCTCCTGCCTAAGTCTTCTTATCTTTGCTTTAGCATCTGCTAGCTCCACTGACAAGTGCTGTCTGCTTTCAGTGCGTTTAATGCCTGGAGATCCACAAGGTGATTGTGCTGCTGATGCATGAGGTAGAAAATGAAGACAGTCCCGTTCTTCAGAAAGCTCTATGATAGTCTAAGAAATAAAACACAACAAGCATATAAGCACTTCAGATGGCTGTTTATATGTCAAAAAGTAACAATTAACTTTTATAGGTACAGTAAGTCAAAAACTGAAATGATACAAGAACTAAAGTAATATGGTCTTGTAAAAGAACGAGTTGGAATCAGGAACACTGGGTTCAATTCCTGGCTCTGCCACAGACCTCCTATGTGTCTTTTGGCAAGTCACATAATAAGATTTTCAAAAACAGAAGCTTAAATTTAGACTTCTAGTCTCATATTTAAGTACCAAGTAAGAGGCCAATTCTCAAAAATGCTCACTACCCAACAGTTTCTATTGACTTTACTGAGAACAGCAAGGTTCTCAGCACTTTTGAAAATCAGTTTATTTATTTAGGAGCTGTGACACTGGGCCAAAAAGGCTTAAGCAACTTGCAGGCTAAATGACCCAAATTCAACCTTTAAAGACATGCTAGAGAAGTATGTAAATGCTAATTAGGGCTATTCCTTATAAATAGGAAACATAGCTATGTTGAATAGACTAGAGTTTTGAAATGCAAACCTGTATTGTTAGAGAATTAGAGGTAATACTAATGGTATGTGTTTTTATGTCTTGTTAGTTGTTAACCATGTAAATCAGTGGTGAGCAACCTGTGGCCCACGGGTTGCCCACTACTGATGTAAACAGATAGTTCCTGTCTATTACTATAGCTATTGATTCAGTGATCAAAAGGGAACATTAACATTTAGATTAAACTTGGGTGTAATAGTGTCATTGTCTATATTTCTTTGAAGGTTGTAGTAAACTGTTTATGACCTGCTTAATGGATAATTACCTTATGCTAATTAATGCAACCACTTACCTGTGTATACATAGGAAATAGGTTTCAGGGTAGCAGCCGTGTTAGTCTGTATCCTCAAAAAGAACAGGAGTACTTGTGGCACCTTAGAGACTAACAAATTTATTAGAGCATAAGCTTTCGTGGGCTACAACCCACTTCTTCGTATGCATCCGAAGAAGTGGGTTGTAGCCCACGAAAGCTTATGCTCATAGGAAATAGGTAATTCTACTTCAAAGCAACTATTCTTCACCCAACGGATCAACCTGATATTGGACATTGGACTGAACTTATGGACTAATTCTGACAGAACTCTTTGCAACTCTAAAGCTCATCATCTCTACTATGAAACTGACAATTTATTCAAGTCTGTATGTATAATGATCTTTTAACCAATACTCTCTCTTTTTTAATAAATTTTAGTTTAGTTAATAATAATTGTCTGTAAGTGTGTATTTGGGTAAGATCTTCCCTGATGCTCCCTGACTCAGATGAGAGAAGAGTTGAGAGTCAGGGAGGGACAAAACCATCAAGTCTCTAGCTATTATATAGGAGGTGCAGAAAATACCAATATGGTACTGGGTAGCATGGTACTGACTACGAGGTGGGAGGCTTCATCAGTAATGACCCTGTTAGTGCTGGTCTTGCAAAGAAGTCAATGGGGATGATCTCGTTGACCAGTACCAGAGTCATTAGTCGGAACTGAACTGTTAGAGACGGTGCAGAAGAGAACGGTACTGGGTTCTTTGAGGAACAATTTTGAGGAACTGGGTTCTTTGAGGAACATGGCAAGATGGGGTGTGAAACTAAACTGCAGTAGTCTGCCATGGTATAACAGTCTGTGTGCACCCTGTTGATGCGTGTTAACAGTCCTCTTTGAAATGGGACTAGTTCAGAGCGCGTTAATGAACTGTTAACGTGTGTCAGCAGGGTTCATATGGACAGTGAGACTGCAGCAGGTTACTGCAGGGTAGATTCACACCCCAGTTTGCCATAGTCTAGTTGTTCGTAAACACAAACTTTATGTTGCTGTATGGGCACTAAGCAGCAGTATGTCAAAGTGCACTACAGAACTTTTAGTGAGGTAGCAGGGTCCACATGGTGACTTGGACCAATGGTTCTGAACCAGACGTAAGGGTACCCTTGGGGGTGCACAGAGGTCTTCCAGGGGGTACATCAACTCATCTAGATATATGCCTAGTTTTACAGCAGGCTACATAAAAAACACTAGTGAAGTCAGTATAAACTAAAATTTCACATAGACGTGACTTGTTTAACTGCTCTCTATATAATTTATATTCCAATTGATCTATTTCATAATTGTATAGTATGAGAAAGTACGCAATCTTTCAATAATAGTGTGCTGTGACATTTTGAATTTTTATGTCTGATTTTGTAAACAAGTAGTTTTTAAGTGATGTGTAACTTGGGGCTACGCAAGACAAATCGGACTCCTGAAAGGGTACAATACCCTGGAAAGGTTGAGAGCCACTGACTTAGACCTGGTCTACACTACAAACGTAGGTCGAGAAATACTCTTTCTTTATTCTAAGCATGGGGATTTGGTGGGTGAAAGGGGAGGTACAGGGAAACTGATGCAATGGAGGGGATGGTATGGGAAGGCACAGGAAGTGGCACACATTACTGTGGCTCATTACTGAAACAGGTTTTCAAAGTCTCCCGAAGAGGCAGAGCTCCTTGCTGGGCTCTGGGCTCTTCTTATTGCCCTGGTATCTGGCTGCTCAAAATTAGCTGCTAGCCTATCTGTCTTCTTACCCCACATCCCTGTGGAAACTTCTCTCCCTTCACCGCACAGATATTATGGAGCCCACAGCAGGCAGCGATAACAATAGGGATATTGCTTTCACTGAGATTAACCTAGTAAGCCAACTGCGCCAGTGACTCTTTAAATGTCCAAAGGCACATTCCACCACCATTCTGCACTTGCTCACCCTACTGTTGAACTACTTGAGGTGGCCAGTGTATGGCTTCATGAGCCATGGGAGCAAGGATTAGCTGAGTCTCCAAGGATCACTATTGGAATTTCTACATCATCAGTGGTTATTTTGCAATCTAGAAAGAAAGTCCCTGATTGCAGCTTTATGAACAGACCTCTGATCCTAAAGATGCGCACGTCATGCACCTTTCCTGGTCATCCCACGTTGATGTACATGAAATGCTCCCTGTGATCCACCAACACTTGCAACACCATTGAAAGGTATCCCTTTCAGTTTATGTGGTCTGGTGCCAAGTTAGGGATATGCATGTCATATATTGCCCACCGCAGTTAGGGAACCCCATTGCAGCAAAACCATCCACTATGTCCTGCACATTTCCCAGAGTCACTACCCTACTTAGCAGAAGTCAATTAATGGCCCTGCAAACTTGGATCACAACAGCTCCCACAGTGGATTTACCAACTCCAAATGGATTCCACACTGACCAGTAGCAGTCCGGCATTGCTAGCTTCCACAAAGCAATCATCGCTCACTTCTCCGCTCTCAGAGCAGCTTTAGTATTGCTGCACTTCAGGGCTGGGGAAAGCTCTGCACAGAGTTCCTGGAAAGTGGCCTTCCACATTTGAAAGTTCTGCAGCCATTGTTCAACATCCCATAACTACATAATGATGCAATCCCACCAGTCATTGCTTTTTTCCCGGAACCAGAAATGGAGTTCCACCGTGTTCAGCTGCTGTGCACCTGCTAGCAGCAACTGGGAATTGTTTCATTCTATGGCTTGCAACAGGGCTGCTTGAAGGACATTGCAACGTTCTGTGCAGCAGCTCATGTCTCAGCTCTGGAAATACTGCAGGATACGGTGTGAGGCGTTTGTAATGCTCACAACAAGAGTGCACAGCTGAGCAGGGTCTATAACTTCTTGAGCTATGACTTACACATGACTAAGCCAGGCTTTTGAAAACAGGCATGAGAAAGTATGGGTTGTTTGCCACTAATATCTTGGTAGGGAGACAGGGAGGGAGGAAACTGCATCATGGGAGGTCGAAGCCATGTTCCCATTCTACCCTGAGACAATGTTTTGGTCCCACGAGGCATTGCAAGCCCTTCCCCAAACCCCCTAAGGCTAGATGCACTGTGGGATAGCTACCCATAGTAGCTCTCTGCATCGATGCAAGCGCTGCTAGTGAGGATGCACTCTACTAAGACAATGAGTGTGGTTTGGGCAAGCACGATCAACTTAATTACTGCAGCGGTTACATGTCAACTTAAATTAAGCTGGGGTAAGAGGTAGATATGCTGGAGGGTAGGGATAGGGTCCAGAGTGACCTAGACAAATTGGAGGATTGGGCTAAAAGAAATCTGATGAGGTTCAACATTGACAAGTGCAGAGTCCTGCACTTAGGAAGGAAGAATCCCATGCACCGCTACAGGCTGGGGACCGACTGGCTAAGCAGCAATTTTGCAGAAAAGGACCTGGGGATTACAGTGGATGAGAAGCTGGATATGAGTCAGCAGTGTGCCCTTGTTGTCAAGAAGGCTAACAGCATATTGGGCTGCATTAGTAGGAGCATTGCCAGCAGATTGAGGGAAGTGATTATTCCCCTCTATTTGGCAGTGGTGAGGCCACATCTGGAGTACTGCGTCCAGTTTCCCCCCTCCCCCCCCCCACTATAGAAAGGATGTGGACAAATTGGAGAGAGTCCAGCGGAGGGCAACAAAAATGATAAGGGGGCTGGGGCACATGACTTATGAGGAGAGGCTGAGGGAACTGAGCTTGTTTAGTCTGCAGAAGAGAAGAGTGAGGGGGGGGATTTGATAGCAGCCTTCATGTACCTGAAGGGAGGTTCCAAAGAGGATGGAGCTCAGCTGTTCTCAATGGTGGCAGACGACAGAACAAGAAGCAATGGTTTCAAGTTGCAGTGAGGAAGGTCTAGGTTGGATATTAGGAAACACTATTTTACTAGGAGGCTGGTGGAGCACTGCACCACCTCCCTAGGTAACCCATTCCAATCTCCATCCTTAGAGGTTTTTAAGGCCCAGCTTGACAAAGCCCTGGCTGGGATGATTTAGTTCGTGTTGGTCCTGCTTTGAGAAGGGGATTGGACTAGATGACCTCCTGATGTCTCTTCCAACCCTAATCTTCTGTGATTCTATGAAATTAAATTGACTTAACCTTGTAGTGTTGACATGTCCTTAGTGTGTGGCAGGCTACTGCA